CTCAATAGGTCTGGCAGCATCTTTTTCTCAACTTTTCTACTGTGGTTGACGGGCCTCTCGGCCTTACCTTCTTGTCCCTTTTCTGATTGGCCCCCCCCCCCCCCCCCCAAATCCTCACTTACCACCCCACCAGCTTTCGCATCCAAAGAATCATGAGCTGCTAATTTCCACTGTGATGCCACCACCGGACACATATTCCCCTCCCTCCCCTTCCACAGGGATCGTTCTATCTGGGACACCTTGGTCCATTCTGCCTCTACTCTCAACACCTCCCCCTGCAATCGCAGGAGGTGTAGAACCTGCCCATTTACTTCCTTCCTCCTTCCTCCTTCCTCACTACCCAAGGCCCCAGACACACCTTCCAGGGTGAAGCAGCGATTTACTTGCACTTCACTCAATCTCGTCTATTCGCTGCTCACAATGTGGTCTGCTGTACGTCGGGGAGATAAAGTGCAGACTGGGTGACCGCTTCGCAGAACACCTACATCTGTCCGTGAAAATGACCCTGAGATTCCTGTTGCCGGTCACTTAGATACATCACCGTGTTCCCTGGCCAACATCTCTGTCTCGGGTCCAGCAAGGCTCAATGTAAGCTTGAGGGACGACGCTTAGGTACCTTAAAACCTTCGTCACTCAGCATTGAATTTAACGATTTGAGAGCATGGCCAGCTCCTTCCCTGTCTATTACCTACCACACACCCCAGGTTCTGTCATTAAATGCGTTGCTTTTACTGCAATCAACCCATTTTCAACCATCTCCAGCTCCCATTATCACTTATCCAGCTTCCCTTCTCCCCGGCTTACTATCAACAATCCCCTTGTCTGCCTACTAGTTTTTCTCTCTCCGCGCCTAGCCCTGTCCCCACCTATCCGTCTACTGTTCTTCCACCCCCCCACTGTCAGCATTAAGTACCACCTTTCCTGAGCTGCTTTCAGGTCTGAAAAAGCTATTCGAGACATTAACTCTCTTTCTCTGTCTCCGCACTTGCTGCCAGACCTGCTGGGTTTCTCCAGCAATCCAGCATTCTGTTTTTGTTTGTTAATGGTAATACTAATGAGCTAGTAATTTTGAACCCCAGGCGACTTGGGTTCGAACCCCACCAAGGCAGATAGGGAAATTTCAAATCCGTAAGAGTCTGGCCTAACGGTGATTGTATAGCTATTGTTGATTGTCAGAAAAAAGAACCCTTTAGGGAAGGAAAGTGCCATCCTTACCTGGTCTGGCCTACATATGACTCCAGTCCCACAGCAATGTAGATGACTCTTAACTGTGTAGGGTTATCACGCTCCCCCCGTGTCTGCGTGGGTGCTCCAGTTTCTTCCCACAGTCCTAGGATTAGATGGTTTGGCCAGGCTAAATTGTCCTGTAGTGTCCAGGGAATGCGCAGGCGAGGTGGCTTAGCCATGGGAAATGCAAGATTATGGGGATAGGGTTGTGGTGGGGAGGAAGGGTCTGGGTGGGATGCTGTTTGGTGATGACCTCTTAGGCTGAATAGCCGCTGTCTGCACTGTAGGGATTCTGCGACTCTATGAACTGCCCTTTGACAGAGCCGTATCAGAGAGGAGGTGATGGCCTAGTGGTATTATCGCTGGACCGTTAAGCCAGAGACCCAGATAAGCCAATCCTGACGAGTTGCTATTGAAATATGCTCCTCCTCATTCCTCCTTGATGTTTCTGACCTACATTTATTGTACGTACTTAGTTGATACAAAGTCCTAGTGATGAACACAAAATATGTTGCTGCATTTAAAAAAAAAGTAACATTTGACTCATTTCAATACAGCTAACACAGTTAACATCTATTAAACATCGTATGGTAACTGCTGGGTACAAAGGTATGGAGTCAAAACAAACATACCCAGCGCATTAGCACACAGCAGCTTAATAATTGGGGAGAGGCAATGGCCTAGTGGTATAATCACTGGACTGTTAATCCAGAGACCCAGGTAATGTTCTGGGGTCCAAGGTTCAAATCCTTCCACAGCAGATGGTGGAATTTGAATTCAAAATATCTGGAATTAAGAATCTAATGATGACCCCGTGAATCCATTGTCAATTGTTGGAAAAACCCATCTGGTTCATTAATGTCCTTTAGGGAAGGAAACTGCCATCCTTACCTGGTCTGACCTACATGTGACTCCAGACCCACAGCAATGTGGTAGACTCTTATCTACCCTCTGGGCAATTAGGGATGGGCAATAAATGCTGCCTGGCCAGCGACGTTCTCATCCCATTAATGAATAAATTAAAAAAAAAAATCAATTAAAGATTCTGGACATTAAATGCTGGCCCAAACAGCAAGTCTACATCCCCAGAACGAATAAAAAGAAATGTTTGTCCATGGTGAGTACACCTTCCTGCCACTGAAACATTCTCACACTGACTTGGAATTTAATCTAGAATGCTGTTAGCTCCTGCATACCCTGATGGATGGAGTTTATTTCATGATATCACTTAGCTCATTCAGGTACCAGCTGTCTTACTTTTTCTACTTTTTTCAAGATTTCCAGCATCTCCAGTATGCTGCCTATGATACTGTGACTTTTCACCCTGAAGCTCTTTCTAAACAGCTTACGGCTCTGAAATTCCTGTGTCTTTTTTCCCATTCGTGCTTTATTGCATCCTCCTAGCAGCCTGTAAACAAAGACATCAGTCCTTGCTACAGTTCCCTTTGGCTGCTTCATGTTGAGAACAATACATTTTCATTTTGTCTCTTGCTTTCAGGGTTTGAAAACCATTGTTAACTTGCAGTGACTCTGCGATCAGTCAGGCAGCTGTTTGTACACGTTTTGGGGCAGGACTGTGTTTTGGAAGCTGCCCGATTGGAGCGATCTGCATTGAAAAGGTTTGTATCTCATTTTCTTTTTATCAACACTTCAGGGAACGTAATCTGCTGTTCTTACCCAGTCTGCATCTCCAGATTGACTGGTACCTTCCCTCTGAAGTTGCCTAGCAAACCACTTAGGTGTGTTCAAAATAGCACCTTCTCTCTGGCCCACTTGATTGGCACCCCATTTACCACCTCGGGCATTCACTCCCTACTGTGTACCATGTTCAAGAGGCACTAGAAAGTTTCCCTTCCAAACCTGCAGCCTCTACTACCCAGTAGATCATGGCTAGTGGACACATGGGAACACACTTTGAAACTGCGTTGCCACTCCTTCACCAACTCTGGCTCAAAATCCCACGACACCCCCACTGCAGTGGTTCGAGAAAGCAGCTCCCCACCAACTACTCCAGGGCAGTTAGGGCTTGACAGCGGATGCTGTCTTATCGGTGATAGTCACATCCCAAAACAATTTTTTTGACATATAGGGATGGGCAATAAATACTGGTACCTCTCGCAGCACCACATTGGATGAATGTGCCTAGAAAAATAGTAGACTATGTTTGAGAAGGAAATGTTAGCTCTTTAGCATTTTCCCAAGAAGCTGTAAACCACTTTCTAAACGCAGGTTCGTTTGGATGTGTTTAATATAAAGATGTTTTCATTTTGTTGAGAAGTTCAGTTCTGAGCTAACCCTTGTCACCTAAATTAGTTTGGAGTTAGTGCAACATTAAAGGAGATAAATTAGTCCTCAATTATTGTCCCTCGGTTTTATTGAATCAATCGATTATGCTCACGTTTTTAAAAAAAAGTCACTGTGCGAAATTCAAAAATTTGTTTTACTTTCGTTCCAGGCATGTTTAAGGTGAGGACGCAATATTCACAGAACTAGTGCTGCTGCCAACATCAAAAGACTTGGGGAAAAATGCAACAAACTGTCTACTGCTTCTGAAACACTGCTGGATATAAACACAGCAGATCATCTGAAGAGAAATCTGTGTTTTGCTGGATTTTAACCTGTTTTGCAGATGCTGCTCTCCGCATTTCCAACAACAGCTGTTTTTTTTAAATTTTGGATTTCTTGGATTATTGACTTCATTTGTCACTATTATGTTTGTTGCTATGAAATGTGATTTAAAGAGCTTTAAAAGCTGCTTGCAAGCAGTTTTGCGAAGTGCTAATGAAAGCTATGAATGTACTAATTCTCTGTGCTTCTGAATATAACCCCTTTAACTCATTCGCATTTGTGCTATCTCGAGACTTAAAACTATTCCTAAACAATCTTTGCCAACCTCCCAATTGCATCCATTGGAAATGTGAGCTGAGGGGAAGCTCTGTTGATTATATCCTAACTCAGACCAAGTAATATCCACCATCAACCCTGCGCTCACTGACTTACACTGGCTTCCAGTCTAGCAATCCATTAGTTTTAAACTTCTCGTTCGCTCCAAATTCCTCTTTTTCAACCCTCACTATCTCTGTTCCCTTTATTTATTGTTTCTGCCACACAGATCTCTGAGGTCCGTGCACGACAGCGGCTTTGGGAAAGCTAAACCAAACTCTCAATGCGCCAGTTGGTGTTTGTGGAACCTCGAGTGGATTGCAGTTCACAGGGAATATTGCTTGGGCTGCAACCCTCTGATATCTCTATGCTCCTTCAATTTCTGCACATCCCTGATTTTCTTTGCTCCACTCTTTGGTTCACCTGTCTAGCTCCTAAGCTGTAGAATTCACTCCCTCTGAAACCTCTTTGCTTCTCCATTGCTTTCCTTTAAGACACCCCTTTTTTTCTGAAGAAGGGTCCAGGCCGGAAACGTCAGCTTTCCTGCTCCTCTGATGCTGCTTGGCCTGCTGTGTTCATCCAGCTCTACACCTTGTTACCTCAAAACCCTACTCTCTTGACCAGGTTTCTATGCGCCTGTCCAAATATCTCCCGTGACTTGGTCAGATTGGTGCCTTTCTTTTGTTGTAAAGTGCCTTGGGATGTTTCACTGTGGTGACGGCACTATACAAATGCAAGGGAGAAGATGGGGGCGAGGCTGTAAGTCACCAGTAGCGACTCATGGTTTCGTGGGGATGCGGCTTCAAATCCCACCACAGCATCTGGTGTAACTTCTGTTCAATGAATGAATTCAATGAATTAATCCCAAAAAAGGGTCTGGAATGAAAGCTAGTGTCAGAAAGGGTGGGCGTGAAACCAACATTGATTATTGTTAAAAAAAATGTCCCATTTGGATCTCCCATGCCCTTTAGGGAAGGAAATCTGTCATCATTACATCCTACATGTCACTCCAGACTCTCAACTGTGTGGTTGCCTCCGAGGGTCATGGAGATCTACAGCATAGAAAAAGGCCCTTCAGCCCATCGTAGCCCTGCACTAGTAAAAAAAAACAACTTATTTGTTTTAGTTCCATTTTCCTGCACTTGGCCCATAGCCTTGTATGCCTTGGCATTGTAATTGCACATCAAATACTTTTTAAATGTGAAGTAACTCCACAAAGGCTGGTATCCCATCACCAAGTCACCCTTCACTTACAAGCGCACAGTTCATGGAATCTGATCAGCTAGCTCAGAGCCAGTCCCAAGAGTGAGGAGAATCCCTGAGACTCCTGTTTATGTCTGTCAGCCAGGGCTCCCTGATTGGACCAAGTTAACAGCCCCAATTCAAAAGATAGTTTTCAGGATTTCTGTATTAAACATTTTTCCTCTGGTGAGGGTGATCAGTGATGAGAATGAAACTTGCATCAACTCAGTGGCAAGAAGGATATGGGCCAGGAGCAGGCAGGTGGGACTAGTTTAGTTCGGGGTTATGTTTGGCATGGGCTGGTTGGATCAAAGCGTCTGTTTCTGTGCTGTATGACTCTGAGTGTAATCAGGGATCTCATAGTCAGAGATCCACCTGACCAACCTCACTCCAATCACCACAGAATGTTATAAGGTTTCTGCCTTCACCATTCTCACACACAGTGAGTTCCAGATTCCCACCACCCTCTGGGTGAAAAATGCTTTCTCACATCCTCTGTAAACCTATGCCCTGGCCATTTTTCCTCTTGACAGAGGGATCAATTTCTTCCCATCTACTCTAACTATGCCCCTTGTTATTTTATACATCTCGTTCATGTCCCCTCTCAGTTCATTCTGCTCCAGGAAAAACAGCTCCAGACTATCCACTTTCTCTTCAGAACTAAAACGCTCCAGCCCAGGAGCAATGTCTTGGTAAATCTGCTCTGCACCCTCTCCAGTGCAATCACATCTCTCCTCTTTACTGTACTCAAATGGCAGCAATTAGAAACATGCAACAAATGATGACATTTCCAGCAACTCCATTGTTCTATTAAACAATGAATGCAAATGTTGGAGGTTCAGTCGTATTTTGTAGATTCACAGAATCTCAAATATATAGACTTTGAAAGGTAATTTCGAACCTGGAAGAGCTAAACATATTAATTGGATCCAGCATGTGAAGGGTTTTGTATAAGGTATGCAAATATTCCATCTGAGTGCAGTTACTGAGCAAAGAGAATTTAGGGACCAACATCACTTCTGTTCTCCTTAAAACATTTGACATCTAGTAACCATTTGAATAAGTACTAGTTGGGATAAATGGTCACAATTACATCTGTAAACCCTATGACTTTGGCAAAACAAATCCTTTTGTTCAATTTTTTTTTGTTGCAGCTTGAAAAATATTTCGTTGCTACAGCGATCTTCATACTGACAACCCTGTTGATCATCTACAGTTCTAGCAATGGCAGTAGCTCATTGGATTACAAAGGTGGCTTCATTTACAATGTTGTGAGTCGGGCGCCGCTAAATTTAAAGAAGTGGGTCACAAAAGATGGTTACTTGCCAGTTGTTGGGAACAAGGTAAGAAAGCCTGTCGGAGCTTTTCATTTTGCGAATTAATTTCACACCCGTAAACTGTTAATCCCATGCAGAGTTTAGGCGAAACTGTTTTCTCTGAGAGTGTTTAGAATGTGGAACTTGCCACCGTGAGGAGTGGTTGAAAGAAATAGCATAAAAAGTTTGATCAACACATGAGAGAGAGAGCAAGGAATAGAATATGATAGAGTTAGATGAAGAATCCTGGGACGTGGCTCACGTAGAGCATTAGTACCAACGTAGACCAGTCTGGCTGAATGGTGTGTTTCTCTGCTGTAAATAATTATAATGCTTTAGAATATCCACTAAGGATTTAAAAAAGGACTCAACTGGCCCATTTAAAGCCTGTTGAGAATTGGAACCAGTCATTTCCAGTTGTTATTGTAACACAAGATAAAGAACTACAGATACTGGAGATCTGAAACAAACCAAACAAAAACAGAAATTGTTGGAGAAACTCAGCAGGTCTGGCAGCATCTGTGGAGAGAGAAACAGTTAATGTTTCAAGAGAATAGACACTTCTTTAGAACTTCACCACTCGATTTCCCTTTATGTAATTATAAAATTTCTTCATATTGATTTTGATGTCCCTTGCAAGTTTCCTTTCATAATCCCTTGCAGTGGCTCTTATAAACTGTTTTGTGTCCCTTTGCTGGTCTCGTATCTTTCCCGTTCAGCAGGATCTGTGCGGGGTTTTATTTTTGCATTTTTGTAAGCCCTTTCTTTTAGTTTTATGCTATCCATTACCTGTTTAATTGTCTGTGGCTGTTTTTTGACTGAAGTGGAGCTTTTCACTCTCAAGGGTATAAATGGATTTTGCGTTAAATGTTTCTTTAAACATCCTCCATGTTCTTTAGTTGTTTCAACAATTAGCAGATTTTCCCAGTTTAGTGTGGACAGTCTCTGCCTCATCTCATTAAAGTTGGCCTTACCTACATCTAAAACTCGAGTAGCTGATTCATGTTTTTTGACTTTCAGATGCGACATTGAACTCAATCATGTTATGATCACTGTTTTGTAAAATCCCTACAGTATGGGAGCAGGCCATTCAGCCCATCAAGTCCACACCAAAGCTTTGAAGAGCACCCCACCCAGACCCCCCAACTCTGCACTTGCCACGGCTAATCCACCAACTGCACATCCCTGGACGCTATGGGGCAGTTTAGCATGGCCAATCCACCCTAACCTGCACATCTTTGGTTTGCGGAAGGAAACTGGAGCACCCAGAGGAAACCCGCACAGACACGGGGAGAATGTGCAAACTCCGCACAGACAGTCACCCAAGGGTGGAATCGAACATGGGTCCCTGGCGCTGTGAAGCAACAGTGCTAACTACTGGGCCACCATGCCGCCTCAAATTTGATAGGGTTATAGGGAAAAGGCAGAGAACCAGAGCTGAGAGTTTTGATCTCATTGAATGGTGGAGCAGATCTGATGGGCTGAATGTCCTAGTTCTGCTCCAATATCTTGGGGCCTTCTGAAGCAGTCAGGTTATGGTTTAACAGACTGTTTCCTTGTAACTAACGTTGAAATGAGCATGTATTCTCTGTGGGTGAGAATGAAAATTGCCCAAACCCCTGGGCATTTTGTTTCATTTCCCTACCGGTCATTACTTCTGTGTTGTAAAAAAGACCTTGAAAGTTAATTCAGTATTAAAGCAAGTACTTTGGGGTGGGGGGAAAGCAGCTGAATGCATTAAATGAATGAGTTGAAGTTGATTTAAGTGTGACTGAACTTTGCAACAGTCATCAGTTGGTGACTCGGTGTCGTATAGAGGTTTAATGTGTTAGAACATTCTCAAACAGGTCAACTGTCTCACCAATAATTAATAATTGTTGCCGCAGCTTATCGGAAAAAAAAGTCACTCTTGTTTTCTCTCCCCACTGTGCTGCTCGTTTGAAGAAGTCTTTATGTTGGGTATAGTTCCAAAAGAATCTGAAGCCCACAGCGTCTCACTGAACGTAGACAATGTGTAGCACTGGACTCCAATCCTTCCTTACTCAACAGGTCCACCTGCTTCCTCCTGGATAGCCTTCAGAAGTGAAAACTTGATTATTATTCCCCCATCTTCCAATCATTTAAGCCCATGTGCCACAGACTAACAATGGGAAAAGAACTAAAGCAAAGATGAGGAAAATTTTACTTTCCACAGCAAGTGGTTACATAGAGTCACAGAGTCATACAGCACGGAAACAGACCCTTCATTCCAACTAGTCCATGCAGAATATCATCGCAAACTAAACTAGTCCCACCTGCCTGCTCCTGACCTTTATCCCTCCAAACCTTTCCTATTCAGCTACTTATCCAAATATCTTTTCAAATGTTGTAACTGTACCCACATCCACCATTTCCTCAGGAATAAGAGATAACAAGATGTGGAGCTGGAGGAACACAGCAGGCCAGACAGCATCAGAGGAGTAGGAGACTTTTCTCCACCTATCAGCTCCACTATCCACCTTCAATCACTGCCTCCTCCTCTCTCTATTTATTTCAGAGCCCCCTTTCGCTCCCCCATTTCTGAAGAAGGGTCCAGACCTGAAACGTCAGCTTTTCTGCTCCTCTGATGCTGCCTGGCCTGCTGTGTTCATCCAGGTCCACACCTTGTTATCTCAGACTCCAGCATCGACAGCTCCTACTATCTCTACTTCCTCAGGAAGTTCATTTCACACACGAACCACTCTCTGTGTAAAAAATTTTCCCCGCATGTTTTTTTTAAATCTCTCTCCCCTCACCTTAAAAGTGTGACCCCTAATCTTGAAATGCCCCATTCTAGGGAAAAGACAACTGCCATTAACCCTATCTATACCCCTCGTTATTTTATTAACTTCTCTAAAGTCTCCTCTCAATCTCCTATTCTCCAGTGAAATAAGTCCCAGCCTATCCAGCCTTTCTGTATAACTCAAACCTTCCGTTCCCAGCAACACCACATCTTTAAAGCATGGGTGGTGGAAGCAGAGACAGTAGTGGGGGAAATGTCTGCAGATCCCCAGGGAACGAGCAAGGGAGAGTGTGACCAATTGGACAGTTCCCTCAAGGAGCTGGTATGGGCAGCAGACTGGAATGGTTTCATAGAATCAGAGAATCCCTACAGTGTGCAAACAGGTCCTTTGGCCCAACAAGTCCACACCGAACCTCGGAGCATCCCACCCAGACCCGTCCCCCTATAACCCACCTAATCTACACCTCTCTGAACACTATGGGCAATTTAGCATGGCCAATCCACCCTAACCTGCACATCTTTGGACTGTGGGAGGAAACCGGAGCACCGGGAGGAAACCCGCACAGACACGGGGAGAATGTGCAAACTCCACACAGACAGTTGCCCGAAGCTGGAATTGAACCCGGGTCCCTGGCGCTGTGAGGCAGCAGTGCTAACCACTATCAACTATCCAAACTGGGATAGGAACAGAAATTGCTGGAGAAACTCAGCAGATCTGGCAGCATCTGTGGAAAGAAAGCAGAGTCAACATTTCGAGACCAGTGACCCTTCTTCAGAACAGTTCCGACTCAGAATATTAGCTGCGTTTCTCTCTCCGCTGATGCTACCAGACCTGCTGAGTTTCTGCAGCGGTTTCAGTTTTTGTTTCAGATTTTCAGCATCTGCAGTTCTTTGTTTCATCTAGACTGGGAATGTGGATAAGCCCATTCAGGTCTGCCTTGGAACCACAACCAAACCGAGTACGAAAGCAACTAATCGATAATCAATATTGTACCAAAATATACAAATAGACAAAACTGACAGAGCAGTAAAGAACAACCTGGTTAACAAAGCCTACCCTAAGGTACCATAGCCGGGGGACCACAGGGGGCTGCTCTGTCTCATTGGAGAGATGATCGGTGATGGTTTAACTTGAGGCATAACCACACCTCACTCACCTATATTGGCTTCACTTTGCATCGCAAACCAGCCATCCAGCCAACTGAGCTAACCCACCTCTACCCACAAATTGGCCGCAGTGTCACAACTGATCACTAAAGAGCCATGCAAACCCCCAACAGAGGCAAGACAGAAACCCGCGTCCGAAAGGGAAATATTGTATTTTGGTGAAGTCCCTCCCACTCCTGCCCAATGCAGTTGAAACTCGGGAGCCACACTGTCCATGCCCAAGCTTTCTCCATGGTGTGACATCGGAACGAAGGCTGCAATGCCAATTTTAGTGACGCGATGTAACTCTCATTCCAGACCATGGGCCTTCACTGCAGGCAGTGTGCACTCGTCACGAGCTCCAGCCACTTACTGGGCAGTGAGTTGGGCTCACAAATTGACCAGACCGAGTGCACCATCCGCATGAACGACGCACCGACGACCGGCTACGAGGTTGACGTTGGGAGTAAGACAACGCTGCGGGTTGTCGCCCATTCCAGTGTGTACCGTGTGATAAGGAAACCCCAGGAGTTCCTGAACAAAAGCCAGGGGGCTGTCTGTATTTTCTGGGGGCCCCCGCAGAAGATGCAGAAGAACAGCAGGGGGGGCCTGTACCGATTGATTCACCATGTGGGCTTGGCGTTCTCCAACCTGTCTGCGTTTGTTATTGCCCCTAGGAGGATGCAACAGTTTGATGACTTATTTCGGAGGGAAACTGGGAGAGACAGGTACAGTACCAACAATTATTTATTGGAAACGGGTATTTGGCTGAGTGCTCCTACCATTTTACCCACCTCTTATCCCTCACTCCCACACAATATTAGAAATAATAGAACCTTACAGTGCAGGAGGAGGGCATTTGATCCATCGTGTCTGTACTGGCTCCCGAAAGAGCCACCCAGCTAGTCCCACTGTCCAGCCCTATCTCCGTAATCCTCTAAATTCAACCCTTTCAAATATATACCCAGCTCTCTTTTGAAACCTCCCATGGAATCTGCCTCCACCACTCTCCCAGGCAGTGCATTCCAAATCCCAGCAAATCTCTGATGAAAGAAGTTTCTCCCCATCTACACTCCCAACTCTCCTGTTGACTGTCTTGAAGTTGTGGTCCCCTAGTTACCGACGAACTAGCTCGTGGAAACAGAATATCCTTTTTTCCTGAATGTTCTGTTGTCCCAACGACCATGATATGTGGATGTGGGCAGTGACAGCCCATTGCTTGTACCACTCACTGTTTGCACATTACCTGTTCCTAACAGGTTTGTTAACTCTGGCTGATTCCTTACATTAATCCCCAGCCCATGTTAGAGTTAGAAAGGCAGGTCCCTTTAAGGGTCAGCCAGAAGTTATTTTGTAACCAACCCCTTCAGTAGGGTTATTACATGCCTCTGGACTAAGTGGGACTTGAACCCGGACCTCCTAGATCAGAGGTAGGGACACTACCACAAGAGCCCCTCAAAGGGTAAACCAGAACTGCTCATTGATTGTGAGCAAGTAACATACCATGACCTTTATATTGAGAGCTGGGGTTTTGCCCCCAGTGGGCTCTGTTTGTTAAATGGCGTGTGCTTTAATTTGCTAACTGGGTCATTCTGAGGTGCGTATCCAAAGGGAACAGCTGGGTTGTCCAGCTGGTATGGAAGGAAGCAGGCAGGGTCAGAGGATCCACTTGTGGGCCTGTCTAAAGTGGCCAATAACATACTCTCAATGCACTCACTCTCACACACACTCACTCACACTGACATACACTCACACTCATACACACTCACACTCATACACACACACACTCATACACACACACATTTACACACACACACACTTACACACACACACATACACACTCACACACACTCTGACACCCGCACACCCACGCGCGCACACACTCTCACACCCACACACACACACCCACACACACTCTCACCCCCACACCCGCACACACCCATGCACACACCCATGCACACACCCACGCACACACCCACGCACACACCCACGCACACACCCACGCACACACACGCTCACACCCACAAACTCTCACACTCTGACACCTACAAAATCTCACACCCACACACTCTCACACTCACGCGCACACACACCCACACACTCTCACACCCACACACTCTCACACCCACACTCTCACACCCACACTCTCACACCCACACACTCACACACACTCACCCACACACACTCACCCACACACACTCACCCACACACACTCACCCACACACACTCACACCCACAAACTCTCACACTCTGACACCTACACACTCTCACCCACACACCCACACACTCTCACACCCACACACTCTCACACCCACACACTCTCACACCCACACACTCTCACACCCACACACACTCTCACACACACACCCATACACACTCCTCCAAGAACTCATAAAATCTACCTATTTGTGTGGATGATCCACTTGCCTTGACTCTTGGCCTGTACGGTCTGCATCTCTAAGTTCTGTCTTTCGGGAGGTGATTGTTAACGGGACTTCCTTCTCTCTTTCCCTTCCCTCTGAAGGAAGAAATCCCATTCCTGGTTGAGTACGGGCTGGTTCACTATGGTGATAGCCATAGAACTCTGTGACAATGTCCAAGTGTATGGGATGGCACCACCTCATCACTGCAGGTATGTGCTTTATTTTCTGATCAGTGACCAGGATCTGGGCAATAGTGACATAAGGAGGATCATCTCAAACCTGCCTTGCCATTTGATCATGGCTGATTTCTACCTCAGTTACACCTTCCCACAATATTACTGTACTCCTTAATTCCCCAAAGATTGATCACTTTCATTCCTACATACACTCACCCATTGAGCTTCTGGGTACAGATTCCCAAAGCTTCACCATCCTCTGAGTGAAGAAATTCCTCCTCATCCCAATCATAAATAACCTATCTCTGAGACTTTAATCCCCTAGTTCTATGCGTCTAGGAAATGATGTCATCGTCAAGTCCTGTCAGGGCCTTAAAGAATTTAATACCTTTAATTTTATTTTTTATTCATTTGTGGGATGTGGGAGTCGTTGGCTGGACCAGCATTTCTTGCCCTTCTCTAGTTGCCCTTGAGAAGGTGGCGGTGAGCTGTCTTCTTGAACCATTGCAGTTCACCTGCTGCGGGCTGACCCACAATGCTGTTAGGGAGGGTATTCCAGGATTTGACCCAGCGACACTGCAGGAACGGTGATATATTTCCAAGTCAGGATGGTGAGTGACTTGGAAGGGAACTTGGAGGTGGTGGTGTTCCCATGTATCTGCTGCCCTTGTCCTTCTGGATAGTAATGGTTGTGGGTTTGGAAGATGCTGTCTGAGAATCTTTGGTGAATTTCTGCAGTGCATCTTGTAGAGAGTACACACTGCTGCTACTGAGCATCAGTGATGGAGGGAGTGGATGATTGTGAATGTGGTGCCAGTCAAACGGGCTGCTTTGTCCTGGGTGGTGTCAAACTTCTTGAGTGTTGTTGGGGCTGCACCCATCCAGGGTGCAAGTGGGGAGTATTCCGTCACGATCTTGACATGTGCCTTGTAGGTGGTGGGACAGGCTTTGGGGAGTCAGGAAGTGAGTTATTCACCACAGTATTCCTAGCTTCTGATCTGCTCTCATAGCCACTGTGTTTATGTGGCGAGTCCAGTTGAGTTTCTAGTCAATGGTAACCCCTAGGATTTTGATGGTAGGGGGATATGTTTCATTTAGATCACATCTCATTCATCCAACCTCCAGGGAATATAGGGTGCTGTGCCCTTTGCTCTTGTAGTGAAAATGGGAAAAAACTTTTATTTCCCACATGTTCTGTTGCAGCACCAGTGAAAAGAGACAGGACGGTACACCCCTTAAACATGTACAACCAAGTTCCTCCTCTTTCAGTTTAAAATCGAAACTCTCTGCAATGTGTTTTCTCTCGTCTCCTCTACAGAATACTGCAGCCTCGTTGTGATACCCAAATAAGTGAGGCTATGATCTAGTACATTTCAATTGAAAGGCTAATTACTGAACATTCCTAATAAGTGTGATGAAATCTGAGGGCTTTTGTCATTTCCAACTCAATTTCCTTGCACCACGTTGAACGTTCACTCTCCCCACTGCCGACACAGAGTCACAGCAGTGTGTACCATCAACAAGCTGCACTATAATAGAACATAAGACATGGAAGCAAAAGTAGGCCATTTGGCCTATCGAGTCTGCTGTGCTTTTCAGTGTGATCATGGCTGATCCGAGAATCCTCATCTCCACTTTCCTGCCTTGTCTCTATCATCTCTGATTCCATTACTGATTTAAAAAATCAGCCTTAAATATGCCTAATGACCCAACCTCTACAGCCCTCTGCAGTAAAGAATTCCACTGATACACTACCCTCTGAGAGAAGCAATTCCTTCTCATTTCTGCCGTAAATGGTGACCCCTTACTGTAAGATTGTGCCTCTGATCCTAAACTCTCCCACAAGGGGAAACAATCTTCGTGTATCTACCCTGTCAAGCCCCTAAAGGATTTCATATGTTTCAGTAAGGTCTCCTCTCATTTTCTAAACTCCAGTGAATACAAGCATAACCTACTCAATCTCTCCTCATCAGGAAATCACTTTGTGCTCAGAAACAAGGTAGTGAACCTTTCTCTCGACTTGCCACAGCAGATGGTTAAATTTGAGTTCAATAAAAAATGGTCAAAAAAATATTGGAATGAAGAAAAAGCGTCTGGCTCACTAATGTCAGAAAATAAGGGAAGGAAACTGCTGTCCTTACCTGGTCTGGCCTGTATGTGACTCCACATGTACAGATTGACTCTTAACAATTACGATGGACATCCCATCCCATGAAGGAATATATATAAATAGGTGATGGCCTAGGATTATTGCTAGACTGTTAATCCAGAGACTCGGGCAGTATTCTGAAGACCCAGGTTCAAATCCTGCCACGGCAACTGGTGGAATTTGAATTTAATAAAAACCTGGAATTAAGGATCTAATGATGATCGTGAAACAATTGTTGAGTGTCAGAAAAAACCTATCTGGTTCACATTAGGGAAGGAAACTGCCATTATTACCTGGTCTGGCCTACATGTGACTCCAGACCCACAGCAATGTAGTTGACTCTTGACTGCCCGCTGGGCAATTAGGGATGGGCAATAAATGCTGTCTGGTCAGTGATGCCCTCATCCCGCGAATGAATAAAAGAATGACCGTCGCTGTGAAATTTTCGCTTCAGATCCATACATGGCCATTTGGAGGAAGATGTGTAAAGGCTTCAGGACCCTGGAGCACTCTTGTGATGATGTCATAGAGCTGCACATCACTGACTATAAATAGCACAGTGTGGGTGGAGTTAGGACACTGGAAATAATTGCTTAATGCACTAACAAACATTCAAAAAAGATAGATTTGTCCTCAGATAATGTAACAATAAGAACAGAGCCTAGAATATCTATAGTTACCAGGTATAGCAGTATAGTAAGAGATAGTAAGAACTGCAGATGCTGGAGTCAGAGATAACATAGTCTGGAGCTGGAGGAACACAGCAGGCCAGGCAGCATCAGAGGAGCAGGAAAGTTGACATTTCGGGAAATTTGAAAAAGGGTCTCGACC